CTCTCTCTCTCTCTCTCTCTCTCTCTCTCTCTCTCTCTCTCTCTGTCTCTCTCTCAATCTTTGTCCGTCTCAACTTTCTCGCTCTTCTCTGTTTTGTGCAATTTTTCGCATTGTTTTGGCATCCGCGATGCAATTATCGTTTTGTTGGCAGTTTTGTTCAACACTCCGGGTAATTGTTACGCCACCTCCCCAAGCGTTGGCCCTCCCCTTCCCTGTCCCTGCCCCTGCACAGCCTCCTTTTAACAAGTTTTAATTGCTTTTTCGTTGCATGCGAATGTTAATTACAATTTACCCTATGTTGCATGTGGCTGCCACTATTGCGGCTGTCATTAACTATATCAGTTTGTATCTGGCTTCCGATAGATACTCGCGCTCCTATATCGTTTAAGTATCTAATAATTTGGTTTAGTTGTTGCTGCAATTAAAATATTTATAAATTGTGCTTCAATTCAATGATTGATGGATTAAGTTGTGAAATTAATCTCGCCATATACATACATACACAAAAATACAGTCTGAGGGCTCTTCACTTTATTATCACTCACATAATTATGATTGATGACAGGTCTTAAAGGTGTTCAGCGTTATCAATAGCGGAAATGATTAGGCAATCGAAAGGAGCCGCAAGAGCTAAGCAAGCAGACCAAATGCACTGGCGTTTTAGCTGGTCTAGAACAGCTTGAACTATTGTTGTAAAGATAGGCACACACACATACATGTATATTTACATATATATATAGAGACATTTACTTGCAGTCTCCCACACAATGTGAACCCTGTTATTAAATCACTTTTTTGTTCAAGTTGTTCAATCTTAATCAAATGTTCAGGGCATGATTATGACATTCAAATGTGTGAATGTGCTAGAGCTTGAGGGGTTACCTATTAAAAGTGCAAAATTAGGTATATAGAATTAGCATATCCAGTTCAGTTTGGGCTTAGGAATTTCTATGATACAAAAATGACTTAGACTTTAGTATTTAATTAACAAATGATTGAGCAAAGATCTAGTCATATCTACATGCCTGTTAATAGGCAGAAATTGGTTTCAATCTTTGGCCATTTACCAAATCTTAGACTATAGATGGATAAAGTGTAAACATATACATATATGGTTAAGCTCATGTATTGAAAATGTCTCCCAAACAGTAGAAGAGACAACGAAATCAATTAAAATATAGTTTAGACAAATAACAATTATACTATTAAAATTCGTAAAATTTAAGAACACATAAAGTAAATGAACATAAAATCAAAATATTTGAATGAGTAAAAGAGAACTAAGATCATAGAAATATATGTCATAAAAAGTAAAACTCATAAGAAATATTATAAATAGCTTCAACATCAGGTCCAAGTCGTTAAGTTAATAGAGAAAATTCAACTTGAAGCAGCAGTAAATATTCTTAAATTGCAAAAATACTAAGAAATTATTTCGAAAATAAATTAGAAAGCATATCCAAACGATATAGCCGTTCCCGAACTGACCCATAAAAGAAACGTTTTCCATGCGAAACGTTTTCTGGTTCCAAAATTCATTTGTCTTCAAGATATAATTAGTTTCTGCAATTGGAAACATCAAAATCACATTAGACATGTGCACAATAGCAAATACATAAATCATGGGTAAAAGCTGGCGTACATCGTCTAGAATTTCTAATAGAAAAAAAAAAAATGATTTTCGAATCAGCTGTTGGGCACGTGCTTTACAGCAAAAAAAAAAAAAAAAAAAAGAATTGAATATAATATATTGCACAGTTTGCCAAGCCATAAATCCAGAAAAATTATTTTCTTAGCTGCTGTCGTCATTTGGGTGAAAGTATATATATGATATATCCACATATACTATATGGCTCTTTCTATTTTCTTCTAGTGTCAAATGGAAGCATAAATATATTTGAAAGATTTGGCAAATCGTAAATCAGGAGCTTTTCGTTTCTCTATGGCTTTTTACGAGCTGTTTTATTAACCCCTTGATGGCTAAATAAACACTTTGAGAGTTATACGAACGGGTCAAAATGCATCATTAACGGCATATATATCTTAAGAAAGGAAATAAAAAGAAAATAAAAATAGTCTTCAATTCGCACAACCATGAATATCTGGTTGACATATGCTGATGCTTAGCTGCCAGAATGCTTTTAAAAAAATCCACCTCGAGTCAAAAATAACGAAAAAAAAACAACGATTTTGCTTATATTGCAGATTTTTTTTGTTTATTATCGACTAAACCCAGTGTTTGTGGTTAAGTGGGGTAGACTAATTTCTTGAAATCGAATGTCGCAGGCAGAGGAAGTTTCTAAATGCAGAATGTGTGTATATAAAGTATATGAAGTTGTTCAACTCTTGCTCAGTCAGCTCTTGTTCAACATAGTGAGCTGACGTTGCTCAGCCTACGTAGTATAAATAGACTGAGCTAAGTTAGCTCACCGTGTTGAGCAAGGTGATATATATGTCATATTATATGTATGCTATATGGCAACGTCGACTGAGCTAAGTCAGCTCATAATGCAAGAGCTGAGCAACAACTAAATAAGTTTATATGTAATTTTCCTTTAAGCATGGGTACTTATATCTTTGGAAGGTTTTTTTTCATATTGTAAGATTTTTTGTTTTGTTTATCAATTGTATCTGTGATTTTAAGTCCATTAGGTAACTTACCAAGCGCATATAGATCATATCTATAATATAAGAGCTTATAAATGTATATCGGTCATGTATATAAACTATAGTCTTCCTATATAGTGAATTAGGTTAATATAGAAGTACTAGGCATATATAAAAACAAAATATATATTATTATTTTAGATCAACCTAAATAACCATAGAGGTGTGGAAGATCAATATATCTACTTTGGCATGCAGCTGCTCGTTTGCTACCCCACAAATCCTTTATACTTCATTTATATATACATATTTTTGGGCATATTAACTAGTCATCTATTACTTTAAAATCAGTTGATTATGCTTTAAACATAATTTTCGGATAGTAACAGATCTGAAGATATCGAATTTGATTGCTAACTTGTTATGTAGCAAACATAAATGCAGAATCTATATCTATATGATATGCCTGTACGTTTATTTGGTTGTTGTTAATTAGCATTGATTTAGAGATTAGATTAGCACGACAGATTAACACGATAGACCATAAATTGAAATTGTTTACCTTATAGAATCAGCAAAAGCTCTGCATTGCACATCCAAGAAATTTCTTCTAGATTTATGCATTTGGCCTATCTCTACGGCAACTCGGCAATCAGTCAGTCAGCTCTTAGGATATTCAATAGTCAGCCACTTCGAAATCTTATTTATATTGTGCAAGCATTTGCAAATGCAATTAAAATATAATATAATGTCCCAATAAATAATGCACATCTAGTATACATTATGTTTATAGCCGCTGCCGCTGCGGCTGTCGCTGCGTTTGCCTTTGCTGCCGCACGGCGACATCATAAATTCGTGGCATTATTTTTAGCGCTTGTTTGGCCGGCCAAAGTCAAGTGCAAGGTGCCAATCGTTGCCAAAGTGTCGACGTATGTATATCACATTATGTGTAGTCTCTATATAGAGCACTGCTGCTGCCCTTCTTTGCTCATTTAACTTGTCTTTTATGGCACACAATGCACATTCTGTGCCATTTTGATGGCCGGAAAACGTGTTTAGCGGCAAACTTTTATGTCGGTCAAGTTGAAGAGTACCCAGAAAAAATAAATAATTACACATTTTTATATATGTTTATATACACACATGAACATGAACATGAAATGCCTAATAAGGGCGCTTAACTTGTTGCCTAGAGTTGTTCTAGTCTTACACCGCGTATACTTAATGTTTGAGTTTTTCTTTATTGCCTTGCAGCTTGCAGCCTTTTGGCACTCAGCGCCGCCAGCGAATGGGGCTATCCGGATCTGGACAAAAATCAGGATGAGCGTAAGTAGAGCCAATCAAAGTTACATATACGTATAAACTCGTATATCTATGTGCTTGGAGCTATACATAAATTCGAGTTCATTGTTGGACTCATTGAAGCTCGTATTAGTTAATCAACGCGCATTTGCATAGTCGCAGTCGCTCGTGGCTGAGCTGATCACAGTCAAGTATCTCCCATTCCAATGCCCAGTTCTGATAGCTCTACAAATAGCGTTTATCTAAATTGTGCCAAATTGCCGCGCATACAAATTCGAAAACGACAAAGTAAATGAACTTAAAACAAGACACGGAATTTGCTGAATACCAAATTGAGGGCAACTGTAATAGACTAGGGTAGCAGTTATGTGATAAAGATAGCTAGAGTGGAATGTTAAGAAAGATAGAGGGAGAGGGAGAGGGAGAGAGAAAAAGATAGAGAGAGGGATAAAGACAGAGACAGAGAGACAGAGAGAAAGGGAGAGAGAGCGAAATACACTCTCAGAGATAGTGTGAGAGTGGAAGACAGACAGAGAGAGGGAAAAGTTAGAAATATAGAATAGAACGAGAGATGGCTAGAGCTAGAAAGGTAGCTTGAGTGAGAGGGATAGAAGGAGAGATAGAAAAGGAGGTGAAAAATGGAGAGAGACAAGAAGAATGAGGCAGAGTAAAAAGAAAGGATGAGGGAGAGAGAGACAGCGAGAGGCAGCATGAGAGGGAAGAAGTATTAGTAAAAGTAATAGAATGAGATATACAAATATCGGTAAAGAGATGAAGGGATTAAAAATCGTATGTCCAATAACTAAGTAAATATCTCGCGTGATCAAGTTATTCACTGCAATTTTATATAAATACCTCTATATATTAACAATCGCTATTGCTTAGCCATCAGCCAATCATGTTATATGTTTATTTCTCTTTATTTATACGCTTACTTATAAATAACATTTATTGATATATGTATTTATAGCATTTCCCAAGTGGGGCGGTCTTTGTGACACTGGCAGAAAACAGAGTCCCATAAATTTGCATGTGAAGGGTGCGCTGAAAGGCGAGTTCAGTCCACTCAAGTTTGAGAACTACGACGAGCATCAGGGCGCACTGCAAATGGTCAACAATGGTCACTCAAGTGAGTAGATGCCGTGATCCGCCGTAATAAATAGAAATTTAGCATTACTAAATTCCATTTGATTTGCAGTTCAACTCTCGGGCTTTGCTCACGATCTGACGCTGAGCGGTGGAGGCCTGACCAGCGACTTTGTGGTGGAGCAAATTCATATGCATTGGTGGTCAGAGCACACCATAAACGACATACGCTATCCCCTGGAGGTGCACATTGTGCATCGGAACAAGATCTATCCCAACATGAGCATGGCAGCCAACTTCAAGGATGGCATCACGGTGATCGGCGTGCTCTATCATGTGTCCAATACGCCCAACGAGGCCATTGGCAGCATCATCAAGAGCCTGGACAATGTGAAGAAATACGATCAGATGAATGTGCCCACCCTGGTGGCCGATAGCCTGGCCGTGGACGATCTGGTGCCCAGTGTGGACACATATTTCACCTATGCCGGCTCGCTGACCACGCCCACCTGTGCAGAGGCCGTCACCTGGATCGTGCTGACCGACACGCACCCAGTGACACTGGATCAGGTGAATCAGTTCAAGGAGATCGAGTACAAACAGGACAAACAGCTCCACAACAACTATCGCGAGCTGCAGAGCGAGAACAATCGTGCTGTGGTGCTGGTGCAGCAGCTGCAGCAGCGCGACTCAGCGGGCAGGATGTCCGGGCTGAGCTTAGGCCTAATGCTGCTGCTGGGCGCGGCAGTGCGACAATTTCAGCTGTAACTTTTGACGGGCGGCAGCTAGAGAGCTACACCAAAGACAAATCCAAACCAGAGAGCAACGACATACCAGACACACAGAAACTATACTCATTATTTGAAGGCAGGATTCAAATAAATCCAGATGAAATTTCAACTAGTCAATTGATGTGACATTCAAAGCATGTGCCTTAAATTTAAACTTTTTTTTTTTTTTTTTTTTTTTTTTTTTTTTTTTTTTTTTAAAATTTTTTTTTT